TGCTCTTTGGGGGACAAGAGTCATGGTTATCACTTCCCATGGCTGTGTTTCTGTTTTCTCCAGCTCTCCAAATGTTAAAGTGGGAGAAGCAGGAGGTTAGAGAACTAGGTTAGGTTAGAAGCAAAGACAGTAGAATGTTCCTGGGATTGCTTAAGTCACCCAGGATAATAGCAGAAATGAGGTAGACAGGAGTGTTAGGAGCCAGATAGGGAAATCCTCAGAAGAAGGTGAGAAATAGGCAATTTTCAGAGTTGAGGAAGGGCAGGTACACCTTCAAAACATGAGGAGTTTTTGAAGGGAAGTTATGGAATAGCATTCTGGATGCATCACTGGGAACCAGTTTTTGTCCCTAGACATTGAGGTTCCAAGGGCATGGGAGAATGAGTCATCTCTGCTGAAGGGGAGGGGAAGGAATGTTGTTGCCAGGGGGATCCAGTGGCTAAGACAGAAGGATGCCAAAGAAAGGTACTGGATTTCTCCCAACATCTTTGTTGTTGGTCAAAAGAGATTTCCTCAAACAACGAAATATTGTTTGGTGATCCCACTGGGTGCAAGAGCAAAGGACAAGTAGCATTTTGATTGAGGATAAGCAAACCCAGAATGTGACGACCTCACAAATCGCACAACACAAATATGGTCCAAGAAAATGTGCAGGAATTGCTTTCCCATTGGAAGCATAGTGGATGAAAGAACACACACTTCAGAGCAGGAGTTGAAAAGTAGGACATTTAGGGGCCAGCCAGGTAAGGTAGGTGAGTGGTGATGGCTAGGTGGAGAGCATGAACGAGAGATCTCTGGCTTCTCTAAAAGGGCTGACCTCAATTCTGCCCAATTATTTTCAGGTAGACATGTAGGATGCAGGGTAACAGAAATTCCCTATCATTGATGAAAGAGTTCCAAGTTTAAAATGTTGACAACTAATTCAAATATGAAATAACATGCACTGTAGGCCAAATCAAACATATCTGTGGCCAGATATGGCTCATACGCTGCCGTGTGTGGTCCAGCTTTGGAGCCAGAGAGACCTAGGCAGGAAGCTGACTCTGGGGCTATTCACTAAACCTCTCTGACCCTCAGTTTTCTCATTCATAAAATGATGGGTGGAATAATATCTAACTTTTATTCTTTTGCAAAAGGTTTAGACATACTATCCGTGTCATTAAATCAATGTACATAAAGTATTTTTCCAGTGTCTGCTACCTAGCAGATGCTCAGTAAATGGCTCTCATATTGACCAGACTCATGCATTTTTTCAACATTTCCTCCCAAAACTTAATAAACAAATATATCATCTTATAACACAGCTGTACTTTAGGTTAAGGTGTGACTATTAGTATAGAAAAGGCATGTGACTTAGATCACTTCTCCCAATTTCCCTGCCCTAGTGCCTTCTCTTTAGATCCACTGATCCTATAAGTGCCTGAAAGTCCTATGGCAGAAATATACATATTATACACTAAGAGAAGCTGTAGAGGAACATTTAAACTACATCACCAAAAGCATTTATTAAAGTAACTCTTTCTTTCCACGCAGTGCTTTGCTAGAAATGGTGCAAAGTGAATGAAACAGACACAGTACCTTTCCTCTTGGAAGACCTAAGACATATTCCAATGACAACAGATATTTTATATTCATATGAATAGGGATATAGCAAATGAAAAAATATTAATGAAGCAAAAAAAAGGAAACAAAAGAATGCCTGCATTTATTGGTAAGAGAAGAATCTGATACATGTCATATCAGGGGAAAATCATTTTGCCTTTTTCCATTGATCAGAAAGCTCATGAAGTGATGAGATTTCAAAACTGAATAATCTGAAGAGATTCCCTGGTGAGTTAACATGAAATGAATGCCTAGATATATAAAGAAGAGACTATTTCAAATAGAGTGAAGACTTGAGCAGAGGCTTAGAGATGGGAAAAAATGATTGCGTAAATGGATTTGACTATGCCTAGAAGGATATGATCTTGGTGAAGAACTAAGGGAGTGACCTGGCAATTCTGAGAACTAACTGATGTGAGGCAACACCCTTCCACTGAACTCCTCAGACTCCGCCTTCCTCAGGTAGAGTGTCCCGCAGGCCTAGGAAAAGTCTGCTGTTGTCTAGCTGAGCACTTATTTATCCTGATGTTTTTCATGGTGTTTTTCAGTTGGTTTAAGTTAACTTGTTCCTCTATTCTTTTCTATATTGTCTTCCTGAGTCCGCTTAGGGTTATCTAACAACTAAACTGAGGATGGGAACTGAGGAAAAAGAGACCATGCACCACCACTTAGTTTCTAATGTAGACATGGAGCCTTTACTCTGGCTGGCTTGCTGAGCCACGGCCATCTTCAGCGGCTATCAAGTGCCTATGTGTGGAAAACTGGCTGGATTCTCTCCTTCTTGGACTATGTTCCCCTTAACCTTGCCCACTCCTGTAGTTGTCTGGACTTTCTTGTCAAAATGATATTTTATTTCTGTTAGACTAAATTGTTCCAGGGACTTTTTTCTCTTTTAAAAACATTGTGTCCCATGATTGACTGGGAATTTAAAAAAAGGAGGAGGAAGGAAGCCTAATTTCTAACAAAATCTTTGAATCTGTCAGTCTTTGAATCTGTCAGTTTAACTCTGCAGGAATAAAGGGGTAAGCTGATTTGAAATGAGGTAACTATATCCATATTTGTACGAATAAAGTTTCAAGATGCCAATATATATTTCTTGCCCTTAGTTATTTTGAATATACGTAATAGAAAGCAAAAGTAAATATTTAAGTTTGTAATATTCTAAGAAGAGAGTTTGGTAGTGGTATAACACAAAGTCTCAGAATCTAAAGATGCCCCAAGAGGGCAAATGAGAACTTAGAGTAGGGAAATGTTTACTGTAGCCCCAACCGACTAATTCCAAGTTCTACTATTTCTGCAAGTGATCTTTTCAAAGGGAATGCTAATAGTCAAAATTCTAGGCATTTGCTTATATATTCCCTTCAGCTAAACAATATGTATTTTAGGAAATAATATCTTTTTGAAGAATAATTATTCATGAATAAAGTATAAAAGTCTTTTTTCCTCTTTCTAATTATAAATGGTGTCCAAGTAGTTCTTGAATTGCTAGATAATATTTTATAGATCACGAAGTTGGAGAATTTAGTAAGTGGCCCCATATATCCATTGACTTAATGGATATTTCCCAACACATGTGAGAAAATCAGAAAGTTGAGTGTCCTATACATACATTTCCGTTGAAGTTTGTGGCAGTTTCTGGGCACGATCACATCAGCAAGGCATATTGATAGGTAGTTTACCAGGTTAAATAACTGGTTTTGAATTTAATTGCCAACTTTCCACTCTAATAGTAACGCCAGATAGGGGAATAACAGAGTGAAGGGGCCTGCCCAGTATGCTATGCCTGCCTATGAAAACAAATAAGATCCTTAGGGTTTAATTAGAGAATTTATAATTACACCTAAAGCATGCTAGTGTTAAAACGGGAACTTTGGACATCTGGAAGAAGAGTCTAGATTTGGTCACTTGCCTTTAGGAAACTAAACCCAAGAAATTGTGACTGTCCAAAGGAGCAGGGATGCTCACACCTGGGGTTTATACACAGGCAGAAATGACAAAGGTGAACGTGAGCTGGTCTGCCAAGCAGAATAATTCAGGGGAGATAAATGGAAGAAGTAATTAAAGTCACAGGGAATCCACGATGATGCCTGGCTTCTTTGGTCTTAACATGAAAAGAAGTCATTTAAAAGGAAGAGTAGGTACATAATAAACATGTTCTTCCTTCATAAAAACACACATGGCCTCTGGAACTCACAACCACACAGGATGTCAGCTGGTATCAGAGAGTCCATTTAGGAAAAGAATGACTGAAGGGCCACCTGTGGCTACACAGGCTCGGTGGAAAGGGTCAGGAAAGGAGCATATACAGCAAAAGGTATAGAACAGCTTTGATAATAGAGAGCATTGTGCATCATTTTCTTCCTCTCCCCCGTCTTCTCCACCACCAATGCCACCAACAGTCATAGATTCATATATTTATATATGTGTTTGTTCATACCTATACCATCCTCTCCAGTATGTAAGAAATGCTAATAAGAGAGATAGGACCCTTGTTTCCATTTTTTTTTTGTTTCCAAAGTTATGAAAAGAAAGCGTTTTTTTGTTTGTTCCTTATGTGGTTTTAGCAATAACTTTGAGAAAATTACCTCTATCTTTTATAGCAGATCCCATCTAAAACTAGTTTTGTGTAGTTTAGGAATAAAATTTCAGGCTTCTTCGCATATTTTCTATTATCTCTCTCTCTCTCCATAAAAAGATAAATTTCAATGTCTCTAAGTGACTAGGAATCCACTCCACATGGTATAGCAAAATTTAAATTATACAATTTAGATTACCTTAGAGTAAAACTCCTGAAAAACAGAGAGCACAGCTTAAGTGTTTGGTCTAGAGGTAAGAACAAATGGAGTGGAAAAGTAGTAAAAGGTGGTCAGAGGGTTTAACACTTATCATCTGGCAGCCCAGTGCAGTTCCACTCCTTGGGAGACACAGCTAGGACAGGGCAGGTGTGTGTAAAGAGTGAAGCAATTCATGGATACTCAGCCATGAAATGGAAAATCAAAAAGCAATATGTACAACTGTAACTATCTTGGTCTATTCATATTAAAATATTAATACCTACTTTTCTTTGAAAGATATTACTTAATATTTACTGACAAGAAAAAAATGGTTTAGGAAGTGGAACATGTTCAATAAATGCGTTTAAACAGTGGTTTGCTTAACTCAGGGTAACAGTCGGCCAATTAAAATAAGTTTCCCATCCAAATGTGTCCTCTAATGTAGGATCACTTGGAAAAAATTTCCAAAATGCAGTATAACTTTTCACAGGGGTGACACATGGTCCTATTTTCCAAAGACTTTGATTGAATATTGGAATGCAATGGTATTTGACTCTGCTAGTATAGAATATTTAAACTTAAAAAGAAAATACTTAATTTGTTTATGCATAAGCCTATTAAAAAATGTTTCTTAGGGGCTCTTGTTAAGTTTATTCTCTAGAACATAACCTGTCTTTGAAGTGGTGTATTAGTTTTTAAAAAGTCATTCCCAAGCTGAATAATTAGACTGAAAACAAGCTATTCTTAGATAATATTCCACATACAAAGCTATGCACATGATGCTTTGATTCAAATAATATTCTTATAAAACTTTGTTATTGTTTGAGGTCTATATTCAGAGTGGCAACTTTTGTTTTTGATGATTATTCCATCCTGAAACAATTTCCCCCCTGCCCAATTAAACCAGAATTAGGAGCACATTTATATCTGATGAGGCTTAAACTTCTTAACCGCCTGCTTCAGAAGCGAAGACCTTTAGTGGTGGTGTTCATTTGGCTCTGCATAGAAGGCTCAAAAGAAAGCAGAATCAATTCCCTTATGTTTTTCTGGAAGAGGAAGGTTGCTTTTGTTGCTTTGATCTTAGCATGTTGTGCATTTTTTATTGGCTGTTGAATATAAAAGGCCATAGCCTCATCCGGTTTTTCTGCTATATTCTCATATTGTAAATCACATAATGTCTTCCAATCTAAAGTAAAATGCCTAGGTCCAAAATATCATTTCAAAACTGATTTATCATTACAGTTGGTAGAAAGATTTCCAGGGTTTAAGAAAACTATCCAATGTTTGATTAATACGCCACAGACTGCTAAAAATATATCCATGCACTTTAGACAACAAATTCCAGAATGTAGACATACCCTCATGCTATTTTACCCTTCTCCTACCATTGCAAGAGGCTGTTGTAGCTAATGTAGCAGCTGGCTAGGTTATTGCTTCTATAATATAATCCATAATGCAAAAGCAGCTCTGTTCCAAAGATTTTAGAGCAACTCAAGTTGTTTACATGACTCTGTTAGGTAATTTTCCTATAACTTTGTGCCAATTGCTGTCTTACTATTTGGCAAAAATCTTCATTACATCAAGACAACTGCACTTAGTTAAATTTCTCTCATACAGAGAATTATAGGAAAGTTACAGTTAGCTGATTCGAGGCCATCATCATAAAGTAAACATAGGGTTTTAGAAAATAAATGCAAACTATGAAAATGGAGTTGTATAATTAAACATCAAATAGTCCAAGTAATAAAAGTCATAGATTAATTGTCTCTCAGTTCTAGTCAGATCCTTTAAATACTGTCTCACGACCTGAGCATTGGTTCTTTCATCAGAAGAGTGCCTATCCTTAAAGTTTGGAAATTTCAGCTCTTTTGGAGCACCAATCAGCTGTAAAAAGTAATTGGCGTCTTCTTCCAAAGTTTCAAATTTCCCTACAAAATCATAGTTGATCAAACACGGATAGCAGAGTTTGCTGACCTTTTCCCAGTGAATGTCCATTCCTACTGGACGGTGGGAATCCAGCAAGTAGTGGACAAACTCTTTGAATTTGACTCCAGATCCATTATTTAACGCTTCTTCACAGGCATTTGGTCTATATTTCTTTATAATTGCCTTCCCGAATACTGGATGGTAATAACTATTGGGGTGTTCAAATTTGTCCCTAAATGCTGACACTAATCTTTCCATGGGATCACGAACAAACACAGCTTTGGTGTAGGTATTCAAACGAGTATATATCCCTTTTAAGTCGAAGCTATCTAGCTTTTTCAAATGCTTCCCATAGTGAACAGCATCATGGGAGATGTTGTATGTAGAGGGAGCCAATCCATTTAGTACCATCAGAATTCTTTTCCAGTTGGAACAGCCAGCCTTGGGTACTTCGCAATATAAGATTCTGTGCTTATCTTCTACATAGATCCTGGATACCATATGAAAAAGATGTGATTGAGGATGACTCACTCCCCCGTATTTCTTGCAAAACTCCTGTAGGAAAGACCTGCGTTTCTCTTGGGTCTCATCAGTTTTCTTCCATCTGTTGTCTTTGACTAAACTTTTGTTTAAAGGGCGAATGTCCAATGGCCAATTCATTTCATTGAGCTTCTTGAAAAGGGTCTTAGTTCCCTGATGTTTTTCAATCAACTTAATTGTTGGTGACCCTGTGGTCTTACCCAAAGATTGATTCTCTCCTTGTGAGTGGCTGGTCTCTGTTAAGACCCTAGTAGGCCTCTCAGAGTTTAAATTTTCCTTTTTTCCCTTGGGATCATCAGGTATGTGGAACTTGGGGTGCTGTTAAAATAGAGAAGGAGAAATGTTGAAAGTACATTCACAAACATGGGTATACCAGGTAAAGAACTTAACATATTTGTTTTAAAATACTACAGAGGAGAGCAAATTCCATATAAGCTGCCAGAAAAAATTAGCAAAGCATGCTTAATATACATTTTGTAGTAAGCTTCTTCACAGAAAACATTACCATGAAAAATGGTATCCACACATCATTTTGAACCAGTTTCATATTTTATATTATATCTATATGGGTTACTTATATGTTATTATTCATTTAATGTTACATTAATAGATTTTATCATGCTGAATTATCTGAACATTATTGGGATAAAACTACTGGTTACTAATTTGAATCTATGATCATAGTAAGTTTGTTATTGTCTTTGTATTATCTTTACATCTATGGTTATCAATTATATAACCTTATAAACTACAAAAACAAAAATGGTATCCATAAGATGGAAAGAAACTGGTCCTGAATTTTCCTCTTGGTTTTGGCTGTAATGCAATAGAATGTAACTCCATCATTCTGTAGGTCAATGATTCTTGAGCTATGTGTTACCTTCAAGCACTGATTTAGTTAGTGTACCTGAATGTAGATTCAAAATGTAGCTGTTTTCAGGTTGAAATCTCTGTTGTTGTTTTGGGGGCATCTTGTAATGCACAAAACAGTTCAAAGTCATAAATTACAACTTAAAATTGTAGCAAGGCTAATTATAAAATCTTGATGACCACGTCAGTTTTTTAAGCACTTGCACAAAGTGATATATACTTTTTCCTTTGGAAAATGTTTTATTTTTCTAAATTCATTTATCACAATAATACAATAACTATAATCATACTAATATACAATTTCATCCACGTATAAGACCTTCTCTCTTCCCCAAGTGAAGAATGACCGAGGAATCCAGAAAAGTCAACTAGATGTCCTGATATATAAAATTGTATCAAAGGTAGAATGAGAATTTAGTTCTCTAGCCAGTGGGATGAATCAGCCCATCTACCATCTGCTCTTCCTCTGACTACATCACTCCTACAGCTCTCGCAGTGACTGGGTAAAGGAAGACACGGAAGACAGGATTTACAAGGTGGCATCCTTGGACAGGACAAAATTTATAAGGGCTTTGGCTTTTACTCCAGGTAATCTAGGGAAACTTTGGAGGGCTCTGAGCAGAGAAGTAACATGATCTCACTTAGATGTGAAAAGGATGGTTGAGAAGAAGACTGGACTGGAGATATACATATACATACACATATACACATACATATACACACACATATACAGGTCAGCGTGTTATTGGAAAAATTAACAAATAAATGATGTACTGTAAGAGTAATGAATAGGACCACCAGCATAGAGGTGGAGGGAGTGGTGGGGAAAGTTTCCTAGGGGAGATGTGTCTATATAGAGACAGATATATATAGACATAGATATAGAAAAAGATATAGATATATTTATCATTGTATCCTCAGTGTCTAGAATGGTCTACAGCTTATAGTAATTGCTCTCAGATATTTGCTGAATGAACGAATGAATGAATGAATGGAATTAGGTCTTCAAGGATGATGAGGAATTGTCTAGCAAACTGAGCAAAAGAGCAGAGGAATGAAGAATGGTGGATGGAAGCCACTTCCAGGCATCATGGCCCCTTCACTAGCTGAGCTTTAAGAGAGGTGCTTCCTTGTAGTGCAAGATTATATGAGTAACACCAACTTGTGCAGCCCCATAAAACAGCTGCCCAAATCTTCCATACTGTTGAGCCAACTATTTGGGGTTTCAACTCTAAAACCTTTCGTTTGCTGTCTCCTCAGAGACTGCCAGGATGACTTCAAAGCCCTGAATCCCTCTTTACTCTGATCAATGACTTGTCATCCATAAAGTTCTCACAGATAATATAAAATTTGACTTGAGGTTTGAAAGATCATTGGGTTACTGGTAGACTGCATGGGAAGTACTTAGCACAGGCTTGAAGTAAAACTGCCACTAGATTTCTACTACTACTTCTACTACTACAACTATAAATAATAATTGCTATTATTATTGTTTTAATAGTAGTAGTAATAGTATTCTATCCCAGTGACCTAGTGAATTTCAAGGTTCCAGGTTTATCATGCAGACTGTAATTTGCGTGTCTCTGCATATGCCCTAATTAGTTCTCTCCCTGCCCCACTAACAAAAACAAAAACAAAAACAAAATTAACCTTCCACTATGCCCTCTGGAACTTCTGCCTGTGATCATCAAATTCCCCTTTAATCTTCAGGGACTTCTGGAATGTTTTTTTCCCATGACTTTCTCTAAATGAAACCTGGCTTTTACTCCAGGTAAACTAGGGAAACTTTGGAGGGCTCTGAGCAGAGAAGTAACATGATCTCACTTAGATGTGAAAAGGATGGTTGAGAAGAAGACTGGACTTGGGGGCTGGGCCCCAAGACTCTGCTTCCCTTGCACTTTCTCAAGTAGATGAAACTTCACTTCCTTGAACTGCTTGTCTCTCAGGTCAGAAGATAGGATGTTATTTCCACTGCTGCTTCCAGGACACTTCCCCTGGCAAAATCTCCTGCTTCTGTAAAGCACATGTGTCCTGCTGAACTCCCCTTTCCCCCTCCTCACGCTGTCATCTGCCTTTACCACTGATCTTTGCACTGTAGGCACTGAAGACTTCAGCTCCTAGCTCAGAGTTTGCTTCTTCATCCCCACTCTTGTCATTATGTGTAGTGACTCCGACACCCATTAAACTCTCGGTTCCTTGACCACCTCATCTTTAATAGAAGTGTTCTCTGTTTCACATAGACCTTCCCATTGCCAGAGCCTGCACTGCCTTCATCCTCTCTCTGACCACCATTGTCTAACCTTCGAGCTCATTATGACTTCCAGTTTTGCAATTCTTTGGCCACTTTTCACTATGTTATCCAAGCTCTTAGCAGCCAACATGCCTGGTTCTTCTTCTTTGAGCTCTTAGAAAGTCACCTCTGTTCACTGTTCACCTTGTCTGAGTTATGTACTCCTCTCCCACAGAACCCTGCTTGTTTTCCTCATCACACTTATCACAGTGTGGAATGATTTTATTTTCTTCTATATTGTCTTCTGTTGTCCATTCCACCTCTCTTGCACTAGATTATGACTGCAGAGGTCTTATCTTTCTCGTTCTCTGTTGGGTCTCTGGTACCTAGCACAGAGCCCAGCACATAGAGATGATCAATAATAATTGTTTAATGAGTAAATGTGATTATAACTTACTGATGAAAATAATTGTTTTATGACCTTCTCAAAGAAAACAGTGTTAATCGAAAGGTCAAGGTTAACTTAGATAAGTAATCTACCAGTTCTTGTTAAGACGCTGAAAATCTGTATTCAAACACATGTTTGGCAGGAGAGAAAGCAAATAAAATAGGCACATGTAGAGCTGCTCGTGCTAAAGTAGGTATGGCGGGCTTGGAGCCTTACCTGTCTGCCAAGTCAGATTGGTTCAAAGTCACTCAATACTGCCTTGGAACCCTGGAGGCTTGCCAGCAATCTGGACTCCTAGGCCTCACAGTGGGCACACCTACGCAGAATCTCAGGGGGTGGGGCTCCCAACTCTAATTTAAGCAAGCTCTCTGGGCGCCTACAGGCAGTAATACCATTTGGGGACCACTGAACTAAAGTATAGCAAAGGAAAGTGAAACTAATGAGAGTTCATCTCAGATCATCCAGGAGAGAAAGACACCAAATACGGTGGACATGAATATTTCAGTCAGCAGAGGCAAATACTCTGTTGTAGGCAGGGATGTCATCAGCCCTCACATGAACCAGATGTAATACCCTCACATTTATCTATGCTCCCCAAGCGACTTCTTAATGACAAGTTTGGCTAGGGAGATCACTGCATGAGGGAAAGAATCATTGCTCATAAGTTAGAGTTTATCTCCTGGTAGTTTATTTAGTACTAGTCAGTTTCCTCAGCTCTGATCAAATCAAGATATGGGTCAAGTGTTAATTCTAAGTAATGATGCCCTATGAGGCTTCTTGTTGGATGGCCACTAGACCTCTCCCAGCAACCCCTTACTGCACCATCACTCACCTTATAAAAACCATAATTAGGATGTGGTGACATCCCTCCCTCCCCCCACTCCCACCCCAGTTCCTCCAATCATGACTGAGGGGCTAGGACTACCAAAATTGAGGTTAAATGTATTTTAAATTTGTAGCTTAAACCAATGAATTTCCACCACCACCATCATAATGATAACAACAACAACAACACAAAAAAGAGTAAACTCTTACATCTTACTTTGCTCTGATTGTCCCCAAAGCAAAGGTATATAAAGCCAAACTTATCCTGTTCCTTCCAAAAGTGTCTCCTCCTGCACTTTTCTATTTCTGACATGGTTCTGTTACATTCTGGTCACCCACTCGCAAAATTGGAGAGATGCTTTAACAATCAGAAAGTAAATTGGTTAATTTGCATCTCATAATGTCTTTAAAGAAATCTTTTCTTTTTTATTTATTCTCTCTTAATTGGATATTCTTTAGTATCCTCCTAATTAGTCTCCCTGAAAATTATTACCAAATTAGTCTTCCTAAAACATTTTACTTTTCATTCCTTAAAATTTGGAACGGGCTTAACTGTATATAAACTAAAGTCCCGATTCCTTAGCTGGCATTGGCAGCCTGTCACTGCAGGGCCTCTTGTCACTGTGTGCTCTGCTCCTGTCCTGACATGTTCTCTGCCCTCTACTTGCTTCCATCAGACTCTCAGCATCCTTCACCCACATCCTCCCCCTTTCTCAGGACTTTCCAAATCTCCTAGGCTGATATAAAATCCTGCTTTCTCCAAGAAAACCACCCAGGTCTCCAGCGAGAGATTCTACTCTCTTCGAAACAACTTGAGCACTTCGTCTGTATCACCTGTACAGAAAGTAATTTTATTCCAGCTTACATTGTTATTTGATTTTCTCATTGGAGAAACTCTTTTAGCCACAGCTAAATGGTAAACTATGGCAGAAAGCTACAATTTTTTCGATAAATACCTTTAAAGAGTGGATATTATTGCAAAGTTAGTTGAAAGATACATAACTACAGAGAAAAAAATAAGTATTCAAAGAAGTCTAACGAAAAAATTTGTGGAATATTCATTAACTCTGGAGTAAATCTGAAAGCCTCATTCCCCTTAGTTTTTAAGGCCTCTGTATCAATGTGCCTCCTCTGTGAAGTCTTCTCTAATCTTCAACACTGAAATTAATTGCTCATCCTCTTTCCCTCTCAAAGTCATGGAGCGCCTACTACACATCAGGCGCTGTGCTAGATGCCAGGGATGGCAGGGTGGATGTGACCAATGTGGCCCTTGCCCACATGGAGCTGATATTCTTATATAGAAAATATGTATTAAGCAAATAATTACACAATTAATTAATCTATTACCGTAGTGGCAAAGGCTGCAGCAGCATACTACTGGAGGCTGGGAGAGCAGAAACGGGAGTGCAGGGCATGGAGACAAGTCTGACTCAGTTTGAGGGCTAAGTCTTCTGTTTAGCACCTTATATTTTACCCTAGTTAGTTGTTACAGTTAGTTGGTTAGGTGACTATCTCTCCCATTTACTTTAAGTTGATTAAAGATCAGTGTGCAGTGTTATTAATCTATATAACCTCCACTAGTATCTAGACTAGTCTCTTGCATAAACATATGTTTTGAATTTAACTGAGGTGAAGAGCAGTAGCATTCCCGTACTGCCCCTTATTCAGCAGCTAACTCACATTGGCTTTATGCTGTTGACAAGCATTGTACTGCTGTAAGACTTTATCTGCTCTTGTGGGGCTGATTATGCAACACAAGGACTCTGATCATTCATTCATTCAACACACATGTATTGAACTACTGCTATATGCTGTGTTTGACATCGTATAAACAAAGACGAAGTAGATAAAATTTATGGCCCCTTGAGGAAGTCCAAGTTTAATTGGATTGATAAAAATAAGCAGTTTATGAAAAAAATGTGATAACTGCTGTAAAGAAAGGATGCATAGGGTATTTGGGAAACAGAGAAAAGAGTACTTAATTTTTCTGAAGAGATCTTTGGGGGCAAACTTTGTAGAGGAGGTGATGCCTGAGATGAGTCTGAGAGGATGACTGGGAAGTTGGCAGTTGTATAAGCCAGGGATGGGGAGGACTGTACATGTTGCCATCGAGAGGACACTTGGGGACCAGATTCAGATGAGAGGGAGAGGCAGGCAGGGTTGGGATTCACTCCAGGAGGGCCTTGCGCCCATATAGAGTCTGGACTTTGTTACATAGTGACAGGGATTTTCAATAAGGAAAAGACAGAATGAACATTCTAGTAGCGGTGAGGAGGTGCAGTTGGGGGCACAAGGATCATCTAGAAGGTGATTGTGATTGACTGTCCATCAGAAATTCTCTGGAGAGGAACTAAGACAATGGGGTCAAAATGAAAAAAAGGGAACTATTTGAGGCAAATTTAGGAAATTGATCAGACTGGAAGAGTGGGGGTGAAGGAAGTGTAAAGAATGGCTTCCCATTTCCCAGAGAGGAAATAGGAGTAGCAGATATGATGAGAGGCTATGGAGTAGGTGTGGGTACTCACTATCTTCAATTCCAGATCTTTTGAGTTTGAGGTGCCCTCGGGAGACTCTGAAGGCTGGGTATACAGATTTGGGAGATGTTGGCTGGTAGAGATGCTAGCTGGATTTATGGGCTTTGGAGGCATTGCCTGGTCAGAGCATAGAAATGATCACAATGTCTGCTGTTTACTGAGTGCCTGCTACGTGCCAGACCCATAGCACACGCTGCCACCTACTGCCGTGATAATCTTTCACTTCCATTTTCCAGATGAAGAAATGGAGCCTCAAAAATATTAATTTGTTTAAGGCACACAACTTAAGAAAAAGGGACCATTCATGAGCCCAGTTTTTTTCCTGAGCTCAAAGACTTTTCCCGTTCTCCTTGTACATTGCAGAGGAAAGAGGGGAATCTAGGATAGGATCTAGAGGGCTCCACTGCTTGGAGAATGATGAGGGGGAAGAAGAGCCTGTGAGTGAGACTGTAATGACTGGCTCGTGGTGCAAATAAGTGTTTTCCTTTTCTGGTCTGAGTTCCTTGGAGGGCAGGGAGGATTTCTTGGAGAAGGTGTGTGCCATGCAAAATCCTTTCCATTTCTTGCCTCTGTGACATGTTTCCTGTCTCTTGAATATTCTTCTCCATTTTGTTTGCCTCGGTAAAAGGCTGGGGCATGGAGCAAGCTGATTTAGTCACTGCATCAACCCAAGGATGAGACACGAATATAGGGTATGTTCATTTTACAGATAAAGGGCTTGAAGCTCAGAGAGTCTGTGTAACTCGCCCAAGTTAACACAGCTATTGCTAATGCTGTTCTTCAAACCTCAGTCTTCGTCCTTTATGACTCTTTCGGCTGCATCACATGTCAAGCAATCTATTCCCTGTCTAATGCCCATTAAATGAATTAATGTAAGTAAAGCAGCAAGCATATGCCTGTCACAAGAGAGTATGGTAGTTGAGAGCCTGGATTTTGAGTCAAACGGACCTGGTTTTGTGTCTCTGTTCCATCATTTTCCACCTGGAGAACTTTGACTAACCTATTTTATTTTTCTAAGCTTCAGTTTTCTTGTCTGTAAGATGGGGATAATAATAGCATCCACCTTGTAGGGTAGTTGAATTATAGTAAATGTGTGTAGAGAGTGCTTAGTGTAAAGTTTGTTTTCTATAAATATTAGGTATTTTTATTGATTTATTCAATAAATATTTATTTATTGAGCATCTTTATGTTACAAGCATTTTCTGGGTGAATATTAGTGTTTTCCTCTGCTTTTTTCATCTCTTCCTCCTCTTCTCTCTCAAAACACTTAGCAAAGTTAAGAGGATATGATGAATGTTCAATGGAGATACAGATGAATGGAAGAAAGGTTGAAGACAATTGAAG